AATTTGATAAATTTAAAATTTACATTATATTTTATATATTTAAAAAGTGCAATTGTATGTGAACATCTTAATTTTTCATTTTCTTTACTTTTATTACTAATATTACATATTCTCTCATTTTAATTAGTCAATTAATTAAATAAAAATCAACTCTAATTTTTTAATTGAATTGTAAAAAATCAAAATAGTCCTAAACATTAAATACAAAGAAAGATGATGAAAAAATTTAAATATCTTTAATGAATTGATACATAATGAAAATTCATTAAGATTATGCTTGAAAACTTGAATTTGTATTTAAAAGATATATTTTAAATATCTATATTTAAAAGGTGAAAGCTCCTATTTGCACCCTCCATTTATTTTTTTTTCACGGTCAACACCTTCTATAATTTTTCCTCCTTATTCACACCTTTCACTTTTCAAAATCCATAAAAAACCCAACATTTTAACGGACCGTCACAGCACCGTTAAAAAATGCGTTACGTGGCACCCAGAAATTGACGTGGCACATGTGACGTTTCTTTATTCGTTAGGTTCAGACGTGGATTTGCTTTTTGATGATGTGGCTTCTTTTCTGCATACGTGGACACCACGTGTGCAGTAGGACCCACTACACAGGATTTTTCTCACTTGTCCATGTGTCCCCACCAAAAAAAAAAAAATTTAGAACAGGAGCTCTGGGTTCCCGAACCCAAAGCTCGGTTCCTTGTGAGGGTTCCTTTATCACCTTGAATCAGCTCTTCTTTGACGTTTCTAAGATCTCGATTAGAAACTCCAGCGCACATGAACTCGCCTTGCTGCAAATCTCGTTGGAAACCAACTCTAATAGAGATTTGAAGAAATCTATGCCTTAATCTTGAAGCAAGAAATTCCAATTGTAACCAGAAGTAGTCTTCGCCATTTTCTTGAAAATCGTTAACGCATCGAACCTCGTTTCGACGCTTCCTCTTTGAAGGATAATTGCCATTGATTTCACGCACTCTGTTTTTGACAAAATTTCGAATGTACTGTTTTGATCCTCCGACAACGAAAGCTTACGCAGAACGCCAAGCGCCTCTTCATACGCTTGGAACACGATGAAATCGAGAACTATGGGTTCTCGAACCCAGAGCTCGGTTCCTTGTGAGGAACCCGATCTGGGTTCCTCCGGAGGAACCCAG